GAACCCTGAGTTACTTCAAATTTGTGAGTGGTTTGGGCTTCCCTTGCATCAGCTTCCTCCAAACACCATCCGCTTCATGACGGTCTTCATTATTCTCTGTCATGTTCGCCTCGGTCGATTCGACCTCGCCTTTTTTCATTACTGTTACGCCCCTTTTAAACAAGCTCGAGGGCTCTACCTAAAGAGTCACAACGGCGCTCACTTCATCGATGACATCCCCTCCAACCTGCCCATTTGGATCGACAGGTTCATTTTTGTTCGACCTGAGGCACCGTTCCCTTGGCCTTCCGTCCCCTGGGTGAAGGAGATTCCCCAGGAGGTTTCCGCTCCTCCCTCCAATCCCCTTTTCGAGCAATGGGTCCATACCTGGAACTCTAAGACTGTTGCTTCAGAAAAACTTCTTAGAGATGAAAACCTTCACCACCATTGCGGTCTTCTTACCCACAAAACTTGTCCTCCTCCCTCTGACGAGATCCTCGATCTCGTTCGACTTGAAGATGATCCAGGTAATCTTGAGCAGCTTGGTTAAGTGCTCGTGCGTTTCCTTATTAATTCCGAATATAATATATGCTGTGATTTTCTTGCAGAGGTGCCCAGCTTCAATATCCCTCCGAGGAAAACTCCTCTGAAAAAGAAGACGGGGGCTGTCTCCGGGTCGGGCGGTGACAAGGCCGATGGATCGGTTAGCTCTGGTGGGTCTCGACCAGAGCCTCTACAGCGATCGCCGCCACGGCAGACTCCGCCGCCTCCTCCACCGCCGTTCAAGGAAACGCAACAGCGGCCCGAGAAGCAGCCTTCGCAGCCGCAACAACAGCAACAACCGGAGAAGCAACCTCCTCAGCCACCGAAGCAGCCGGGTCAAACTTCCCAGAACCCTCAGCCAAAATCCATTTCCTCTTCGACCACCAAGTCTTCGACCTCCTCCAAGGTCGATGATCGTCAAAAGACTGCTGACCGTCAACAGAAATCTGGCGACCGTCAGAAGTCCACCGATCGTCACCACCAGGTCGATGATCGTTCAGCAAGAACTGACGACCGTCAAAAGGTCGACGGCCGCCAAAAAATCGATCATCGGGCTCCCCCTCCCAAGGACTCCGCTTCTTCCAAGACCATGGGCAAATCCTCTGAGCTCCACTCCTCCTCTAAGGCCCCAACTTCAGAAAAGCCTCCCCTCGATCAACCATCTCTCAAGACCCCATCTGCCGGCTCGACCAAGGCATTGGTCGAGTCTGGCAGCAATATTGATACTGGGCGCGAGACAGTGCTGGGCAAGCGGTCTCGCACCGACCAAGGCGCGGTCGTGTGGAAGCGAGGGCGCGATAGTTATCTTCCTCCCGACCCTCTTGCTCCGAAGCCGACGTCCCTGATGTCGGCGTCCACTAATGAGGTGGCCGAGCGCCTCGAGGGCGTTCTCCTCGAGGACGACCGCAAAAAGCTTGGCCCCACATTGCCTGAGTTTGGGGATCAATTCATTCAGTGGATCGCCCAGGTATTGTTTTTCTCACGTTTCCCTGTCTTCTTTCCTATGCTTTACGTGTTGCTCGGGTTTTGAACTATCCCCCTTTTTCCCGATTGCAGGGCTTGGTCCAATTCTTGCCCACAGCACAGGAGGCTCGTGACAGCTCTGGGAAGTCCCTGAGAAGTCTCGAGAGCACCATCCGGTTCTTGCAAGATAAGAACTCTACCCTCGTCAAGCATAATTCCCAGCTCCGCGAGGCCCAAGTGGAGCAGAAGACTGAGTTCAACGTTAAGCTTCAATCCCTTGATGAAGAGCTCAGCAATAAAAATAGGGCTCTCGCGGAAAGGGATGCTGCCCTCGCGGCTAAGGAGGCAGCCATAGTAGAGAAGGAGGCTGCGCTGAAAGACAAGGAGGCCGTGCTCGAGCACAAACGGAAGCCGCTCGGGCACAGGCCGAGGCTTCTCGAGTGCAGGCAGAGAGTGCTCGTGCTCAGGCAGAAACTGCTAGAGTTGAGTTGGAGGCCACCTTGGCCAAAGAAAGGGCTGCCCAAGCCGGCCAGTGCAAACGTTACGCTGATGCTGCTGCTCTTCGAGCTCGACAGATGATGTGGGGCACCACTACTGGGCAGCTCTTCCTCCGTGAGTACCGTGACCAAGTGGTGGCCGATTATACACGGTCACCACAATTTCTGAAGGAGGTGCAAGACTTC